TTCATTGAGGGAACCATGGATGCCAATATGTACTGTGACATACTGAAGCAGAGCATGATCCCCTCCCTTCGGAGACTGGGCCGCAGGGCAGTATTCCAACATAACGACCCCAAACACACCTCCAAGATGACCACTGCCTTGCTAAAGAAGCTGAGGGTAAAGGTGATGGACTGGCCAAGCATGTCTCCAGATCTAAATCCTATTGAGCATCTGTGGGGCATCCTCAAATGAAAGGTGGAGGAGCATAAGGTCTCTAACATCCACCAGCTCCGTGATGTCGTCATGGAGGAGTGGAAGAGGACACCAGTGGCAACCTGTGAAGCTCTGGTGAACTCCATGCACAAGAGGGTTAAGGCAGCGCTGGAAAAATAATGGTTGCCACACAAAATATTGACACTTTGGGCCCAATTTGGACATTTTCACTTAGGGGTGTAATCACTTTTGTTGCCAGCGGTTTAGACATTAATGGCTGTGTGTTGAGTTATTTTGAGGGGACAGCAAATTTACACTGTTATACAAGCTGTACACTCACTACTTTACATTGTAGCAAAGTATCATTTCTTCAGTGTTGTTACATGAAAGATACAATGTGAGGGGTGTACTCACTTCTGCGAGATACTGTGTGTGTGTGTGTATATATATATATATATATATATATATATATATATATATATATATATATACCGTATTTGCCGGCGTATAAGACGACTGGGCGTATAAGACGACCCCCCTACTTTTCCTGCTAAAATGTAGTGTTTGGGCTATACTCGCCGTATAACACTACCCCTCTTCCAATGCACACCAGTGGGAGGAATAGTGCCCCATCATTGATGTCAGTGGGAGGAATAGTGCCCCATCATTGGTGTCAGTGGGAGGAATAGTGCCCCATCATTGGTATCAGTGGGGGGAATAGGTGCCCCATCATTGGTATCAGTGGCAGGAATGGTGCCCCATCATTGGTATCAGTGGCAGGAATAGTGCCCCATCATTGGTGTCAGTGGGAGGAATGGTGTCCCATCATTGGTGTCAGTGAGGGGTGGAATAGTGCCCCATCATTGGTGTCAGTGGGGGGTGGAATAGTGCCCCATCGTTGGTGTCAGTGGGGGGGGGGGAATAGTGCCCCATCGTTGGTGTCAGTGGGGGGGAGGAATAGTGCCCCATCGTTGGTGTCAGTGGGAGGAATAGTGCCCCATCATTGGTATCAGTGGGAGGAATAGTGCCCCATCGTTGGTATCAGTGGGAGGAATAGTGCCCCATCATTGGTATCAGTGACACCAATGATGGGGCACTATTCCTCCCACTGAGACTTGCTGACCCTGTTCTCGTATGGTGCTGCTGCAGCCAGCATATGTGGTTGCAGCAGCACCTCTACACAGAACACTTACCTGCTGCTCCGGCACTCAATTTTCGCGGGCCACTCGGCTCCGCCCCCTCGCTGGTGATTGGCCGCCTGTGTGCCTTTCCTGAGCTACAGTTCTGGCGGCCAATCACCGGTGAGGAGGCGGAGCCGAGCAGCCGCACGAACATCCAGTGGCCGAACTGAAGGAGACGCCGCGCTTCCTGGACCGGATCGTCGTGGGACTGGATCCAGGTAAGAGACATCAGCCCCTGCAAACCCCTGTACTTAATGCCGCAGCCCCCCCTAACATGTGTACCGGCGTATAAGAAGACCCCCGACTTTTGAGAAGATTTTCAAGGGTCAAAAAGTCGTCTTATACGCCGGCAAATACGGTATATATATATATATATATATATATATATATATATATATATATATATAGTACCTCTCTTTACAAAATATTTCAGTAGAACAAATGAAACCCATACATGTGCTACTCCGGAATCGTACATTGAGATACTTGGCTATCCCCCATTTGTACACTTGGAAAATATATGAACAACATGAGCTAGACGTCTAGTTTATAAAGTCACCATTTCATAGACTGTTGGTTGTACATCTGTATTTGGATTTTAGTGGTATTCAGCACACATCAAAACATACAAAATTGCTTTAGTCAATTTATTCTATCCATATGTAGTCGCATACATTGCACAAATTCAATGTTATGTTCTCTCTCTTACATTGAAGGAATTTAAATCTAGGTTTTCCTGTGGTGGATTATAGACCTATCTTGGGGCTTTTGCAGTTGATTCATTCTTGAATCCTGCATGTGTGTGCTTTTACAGTTATCCTTACATTAACGGATTTGCTTACAGAAGCTATAAGCTTTTGGCACTAGAGACTATATACTCATCGTGTATTATGTGTATCCATTTATTACCAATGGTATAATCAGATTGTGGCATTAATACTATACAATGTGCCACTAGCAGGGCCCTGCATGTGGCATTCATTCTAAATGTTTTTATAATATAGTTTTATGGTATAACAATAAAGATTTACTATTTGTCTGTATAGGATTAGAAATTTACACTTGTATTACTTGGTTCTTTTGAAGCTCTCATTTGTGGGGTGCTTTTGTACTTTTTTGTACTATATTATGTGTTGAAAAATGCAGTCAGAATATAACACTGTGCAGAGGATCCCACCAAGGTGCAGGTCTGCCAGATGTTGAGGAATGCACACAAACCATGTCTAAGCAGGTGTAGCCACCCACTTGGTGACAGTATATTAAAGATGTCTCTGGAAACTATAATCAACTAGGATCCATTGAAAGGTATGGAAGTACAAAGCCACATGCTGGTAACTAAAGAAATGAAGAGGCTAGATGTACCATTTAGGCTTTTTCAGCCAGGCAAAGAGCGCTAAAACAAAATGAAAAGTGTGTTCAAAACCTTTCTTGTTGCCAATCAGAATCCTTATTTCATTTTCAAGTCCACCCTGAAGAAATGACAGCTGAACACTGTAGAGATGACGGTTCAACCGTCTTTGCTAAGTATAACAGTAAATTATCTTCTTAGGATACTTTTCATTCATAATCTGATTTCAATAAATTAAACTCTAAGGCTGGTCATACATTATACTATTTTCTTGTACAATTTTCATTTAGAATTACCAAAACCATATAATATGAGGTCAAACCTAAACACTAAACTTGTACCTACTCAGGCATGTCCTTGTTGAAGGTAAATCTAAAGGAAATTGAATATGAAAATAGTTTAATGTATGGCCAGCTCAACTGTTTGCTCTGGAATCCTAGTTTCCAAACACAATTTTTGCACTGCCTTCCTATACATCTTTTGAACATTATCCATCAAAAGTATTCTGTGATTTTTAATTTGTTGTACTAATTAAGATGCATAGGCATTGCTAGTAATTCCACAATTTAGCCATGAAATATGTTGTTTTGTTGCATATTTCTTGTATCTAGCTAATATACTACTTTTTAGCATAGACTAATGATGCAGTGCTAGTGGAAAATATATTATAGCTGGATGCAGGAGCAGGCTTGCTACATTTTGCTTTTCTCGAAGACAAAAACTATGCAAAGAAATGGTCACTGGTCTGGCTGGCATTTGCCATTATCTGCAGGACTGTGTTAGCTTGTTTGACCACATTGCTATTGCAGTGCCCGCAAAGCTTCTCCAAAGTTTCCTTCAAGTTGACAGCTTCCATTTCCTTTCTCAGGTCATCTGCAGAAAGAAAACCTTTATAAAAACCTCTACAGTACACGAGTCATACATTTTAAATATGAACATTTCTTGTAAGTCCAGCCAAAACTTTTTATTTACTTTTCGATAGAGTGGGGAACATTTAGAACCTCTGGAAAGTTTTTTTTATTGGTAGATGGGGCTCCATTAGAGATATTTCCCCTTTCTTATCTTCCGGAAAGAAACTTAGAAAATATATCCAACAGTAACACAGACAAAAAAATATATATATATATATTTATATTGTTTTGGCTTTTTTATTGCTGTCCCAGACAGCAGTAAAAATCAGAGATGAGTTTTAATCCTTCCCCATTTTATATATAAAAAAAAAAACATTCTTGCCCATTGAGAGATGTAGATCAGGAGAAATGGACACTGGCCAGCAGGATAAGGTTGTCCTCCTATGGAAAATCTCTGTGCACGGTGAGGGTAAGTGCCAGCAGGTTGAGTGCTTGTAACTGTGGGGATGTCGTCTCTGCAGTTAACCCTTTACACACAAAGATAATAGCTGCTGCCATGTGTTTTAGGAGAAAACACATACTGTTCACTGCAGCGCCGGGACAAGGAGTGGGCAAGAGGGACAGCTGCCCTGGCTAAAGCAGAAAAAGGGGGCAGAGAACAAACACTGGGCTGTAAACCCATTCTACAACATGTATTAATAGTGGGAGAGGGGGCATAGTTCCACATCTTTGCCCTGGGTGCTGGATGAACTTGTACTGGTTCACTATATCTTCTGTAACAGTTTTGACCTTTTTAAGAAATGTATGACACTCACTGCAAAGGTAACAGAGTTTAAACTATGGTGGTGGCACTTTTCAAAGAGGCACAGATTCTGAACTTCTTGTTTGAAGCAGTTAGAGAATCAGACTTTACATTTTTAAGTTGTAATGAAAGAAAAGGAAAAATGGTGCAAGAAAATTCACAGAAAAAGATTTAGCAAAATAGAAAATAAGCAACAAGGTAAATGGGATGAAGTGTGAAAAAAAGTACTTACCGTATTTTTCTCTCCATAAGATGCCCTTTTCCCCAAAAAAATAGGGGGGGGGGATTGTCTGCGTCTTATGGAGCAAATATTGACCAGGACTGCCCCCCCCCCCCCCTTCCCGCCGCCGTGTTAGAATACTGGACCATCAGATTGGCTCTTCTGGGGCAGGAGAGAGGAAGAGTCTGAGTCAGCAGTACAGCAGCGCCAGGCAGGGCCCAAAACAGCTGCCCTTTGCCCCAAGCCACTGCAGAGCCGACAGGGTACAACTGAAGACATTGTTGTGAGCCCCACCCTCAGAGAGGATGCCGAGCCCGGCTGGCCAGGTATGTTCCCCCATAGACTGCCTGTGGACTGCTATACCAAACTGTATATATGTGCATTGCTGAAAGGTCTCTGTTCATCCCCTGTACTATGTCTGCAGTCTACGGTCATCTCCTGTATAATGTCTGCAGTCTCTGGTCATCTCCTGTACTATGTCTGCAGTCTCTGGTCATCTCCTGAACTGTGTCTGCAGTTTCTGGTCGTCACCTGTACTGCATCCGCAGTCTCTGGTCATCTCCTGTACTGTGTCCGCAGTCTCTGGTCATCTCCTGTACTGTGTCCGCAGTCTCTGGTCGTCTCCTGTACTGCGTCCGCAGTCTCTGGTCGTCCCCTGTACTACGTCCGCAGTCTCTGGTCGTCCCCTGTACTGCGTCCGCAGTCTCTGGTCGTCCCCTGTACTGCGTTCGCAGTCTCTGGTCGTCCCCTGTACTGCGTTCGCAGTCTCTGGTCGTCCCCTGTACTGCGTTCGCAGTCTCTGGTCGTCCCCTGTACTGCGTCCGCAGTCTCTGGTCGTCCCCTGTACCGTGTCCGCAGTCTCTGGTCGTCCCTTGTAGTACGTCTGCAGTCCATTGGTTCAGATCATTTTTTTTCTGCTTTTCCTCCTCTAAAACCGAGGTGCGTCTTATGGTCAGGTGCATCCTATAGAGCGAAAAATACGGTAAAAGTTTTCCTGGTCTTTGATCTCTTTTGACTCAAATTGATGTATTAGAGATATTGGCTCTCAGGAATGGCCCTTAGCATTCTCAGCTGCTAATTTCAGCAGCTCTTTGGGGCTGTCTTAGATAGTGTCACTGAGCCAACCTTCAATCAATCACCAGAACTGAGGGATGGATGTAGAAGTGCTTAAGTGTTTGGTTATACAGAAGCAGACACTCCTTTAATGTCACTGTTAGCCTGTATACTACTGTAAACGACTATGTGTACATGGACACATAGGAAAACATAAAGGAGAGTTCAGGGGCTGCTGAAAAAAATGCTCAACTGCTCCTAAACTTCTGACAAAATGCAAATTGATAATTTGATAGACATTAGATCACGCTGATGAGGTTGGTGTTGATCTGATGCAAATTCTTTTTTGGAGATGTAATGTGTCTCATTCGCCTCCTGGGTATTATGGCATAAGCATGTATGATAGCAAACTGATCATTTTCCATTGCATTTGAGTAAATGCTTATTACTGTATTTTCCCCAATAGTTTCCCTGCTGCTCATGTCATACCTTGGGCTTGTTGCTGACTTTTATGGACTGTTGGGCTCAAAAATCTCCATTTTTATTTTTCCACCATTTTCTCTATACCTGGGTCTTTGACACAGCTGTTTTTCATGTGTGAGTACTTGCGCGTGCGTACGCACGCACCTGCAGTTTTTTTCCCCCTCAGCTGGGAGCCCAGAGAATGAGTGTAACCTGCATCAGGACCAGCCTGAGTTAAAGGTGAGGTTATTGAGGCCTGGCACCACTCCCTGAGCAGTCAGGCAGGAGGTGGAACTCAAGCTTCACAACCCTTAATTGGGACAGGGCTGCTTACACCTTTCCATATAGTAGCATAAAGCAGCCTACCCTGATCATTAACTCAGAAAAGCAGTAGGAGGGGTGTCTATATACACACACCCACGACTGCTGCCATACACAAGGCATGACACTGAGCAGTTCCCCCCATCCACAGAGTCTATTGTATAGGCAGTCCTCCAGTTACAAACATCCAACTTACATATGACTCATACTTGAGAACAAAAGCAGCGTGACACCATGCTGGTCCTGGAAACCATTGCTCACTGCATGCTGCTACCTACTGTCCCACAGACCTGTCTGCAATCCCACATCCCTATGCTATCTAAAACGTAAATAATTTTTTTAGGCTGGAGTTGCACTTAAAAAAACTGTACCTGTTCCAACTTGCATACAAATTCAACTTAAGAACAAACCTACAAAACTGATCTTGTTCGTGGGGACTTGCCTGTATTCCCAGCAAGGGGTAGGAGGCCCTGCACTGCAGGAAGAGAGCCTCAGGGGCCACTTTGAACACAGTCTCCATATTCCTCACACTGTGCTGCTTCTTACCAAGCTGGACCTAGAAGTACTGTAGACACTCACTGCACTGGGAGCTAGTGCTGGACTAGCTACTCTGGTCTTTTGCAGGAAGTTGGTCTGAATAGTTAGCATTCTATTGCAGACTAGAAGAGATCTGCAAGATGTGGCTAGTTTATGGGGCCCAAAGCAAAATTACAGAGTCCTAAAAAGCTGACGCAGGCCACAAGTGCTAAAAGCTAGCACTGTACTGCGATGAAGACAAAGATCTGTGATAGTAATGGACTGTAGAGACCCTCTTCCTGTGTAATATATATGTAGCCCTAATGTGTATACACAATTTCCTGTTCATCAATCTCTAGGTAACTCAGGTTGAACATTGTCCAAGTTTATGGTCTCAAAGATTGGGTTCACCCATTCCTGTCAAGGTGCCCACTCCTGTGAGTCCTGTCCTGTGAGTGCCTCTTGAGTTTTTGGCATTGGGAACCATTGTCCAGATTGAAAGCTGTTGCCTGGCCTTCTCTAAATCCTACCAGGTGGATGTTACATCCCCCTTTATAAATGAGATCCTTTAGGTTGTTCTTTGAGCTTCAGGCTTTCCACAGTTCTGTTGTTTTCTTGGGCGGCTGGACTGTTTTAGACATCTGGAGGTTAAAGACTCATGAATCCCTCAAAGGATGAGAAAGAAAATAGAATTTTTGTACTTACCATAAAATCCTTTTCTTTGAATCCATTCAGGGACACAGGTCCCTTCCCTCTGTGCTTGCTCATACTCTTGGTACTGCTTGCTACAAAAATGAGGCATGTTGGGAGTGGGAGGGCTTAACCTGCTGGCCAGCAGTTTTTTTTGTTGCCAGTGTCAATTTCTCCTCTAGGTGGCAACAAATGAAAGCCTAACCCCAGCTAACACTTTTTAAAACGGTAACATAAAGGTTTTTTTGGCAGGGGAGGATGACTTTTTAATCTAAATTATTAAACAAAATGACTGTTGTAAGCAACCCTGACTGTGGTAAAAAGTTTACCTTATCTCTTTAACTGACATTACAAGGTTACTCAACAGAAATAAAACAATAGGTAATACAATTGTTAGAGGGGGCTGAAAGAAAACAAATAATGCTATTGCCAGTTTTTTTTCCCATAGTTCCCCTTTAAACTTCCCCACATTCCTCTGGGCATTGTCAGTAAAAGAAGAAATTCAAAAAGAAAAAAGACAAGTGTCCACCAATACCTGAATCTAGAAGGCTACACAGCAGACCCATTGAATTGTATTTCACCTCTGGACCCATTGATTCATCCTGCAAAACTTTGAGTAAGATTGATATCAAATCCGACTCTTTAAAGGCTTCTTCTAGTATTTCTGGAATGAAAAGGCAATAGATACAATTGTATGTTTTAGTGGAACTGAAGTCTTTTAAGGCTTTTAGATATACGCTGACTGTCCTGCCACTACATACTACTCACTGACTTTCTTGCTCACTGACTGTCCTGCCAGCATCTACTGCTCACTGACTTCCCTTTCAACTACATACTGCTCACTGACTTCTTTGCTGCTACTTAGTGCTCTCTGACTGCCCTACCACTACATCGTGCTCTCTGACTGCCCTGCCACTACATAGTGCTCTCTGACTGCCCTGCCACTACATAGTGCTCTCTGACTGCCCTGCCACTACATAGTGCTCTCTGACTGCCCTGCCACTACATAGTGCTCGCTTACTGCCCTGCCACTACATAGTGCTCGCTGACTGCCCTGCCACTACATAGTGCTTGCTGACTGCCCTGCCACTACATAGTGCTCTCTGACTGCCCTGCCACTACATAGTGCTCTCTGACTGCCCTGCCACTACATAGTGCTCTCTGACTGCCCTGCCACTACATAGTGCTCTCTGACTGCCCTGCCACTATCTGCTGCACGCTGCCTTGATGCTATCTACTGCTCACAGATTGCCCTTCCACTACAGTCACTGACTACCCTGCCACCATACATTCCACAGCTCAATAAACACCATTTCTTGCTGCCCTGCACTGCATACTGCTCATTGCACTTTTCAATGTAGTGCTCTGCACTGGCACTACAGTCACAACAAGTGGGCCCATGATTTCTATCATTGGCCCTAGTAGTCTCTAATAATAAACAGCCACCAAGTTCTTCATAAAGATTGTATGTCCACAAAAAAAAAAAAAAAATCATCATATGCACTCAGGTTTTTCAAACATATTAAAAGGTTTTTTGATTCAAATTAAATAAAATCAGCAATACAAAGCCAAAATATCCATCAAATCATGTTGAGAAAAGTGATGTTGTGAGCCACTACTGGATTCTTTGCAAGCTCAGAGCATGCTAAGAAAAAGAACAAAGTCATCTGCAAGGCAGTTTTAGCATATACTACATTCAAGACTATAGGATTAGTGTGGTTATTCCATATTGTAGTATTCTAAGCTACTTTCATATGTAACATGTTAAGGTATGTGCTGAATTATTTTAATGTAGTGTGTATGAGCTATGTAGTTCAGCCATAGGCCAGTTGTCAATAAGGGTGTATAGTATGTATGTATGCTTGCTTGCTTGTGTATGAGAGAGAATCATTTAGGCCAGTAGTCTAGTTATTTCATTTTGGCAATTCTTTACTTTGTGTTTTTTAAGTTGTAGAAAAAAATAACACTATTATGTTGTGACATTTTACCAAGGTTGATTGCAGATGCAATGGCCAAAGCAATAAGGGCTTCATTTTGCATGATGGCGTGCTCGCTGGTTGTCATGGATACCAGATGCTTAACACCCTTGGCCTTCTGAATGGCTTTTACAACTTCCTGTGAATAGCAAAGCACAATAAAATAGATTGAAAAGTATATTTGCTAAACTCGTTTGGGGCCAGTTAGGAGAATTGCCAACTGATTTATCCCCCATCCCTACATATGCACGTAATAGGATTATCCCCTTGTAACCCATAGATATCCACTTAGCACCTCTTCAATTATGACACACATCAGGATTATTAAATACTGTATACCTTTTATATATTCTATCTTTATTGCATGGTACCCTACAGAAGCATCCCATATATCCAATATGCTTGCTGATAACTTCCTGTGCTCTCTACCTGTATTAACTGCTATCAATTGCAATGGCATAAGTTATCTTTGATGACTACTGAACCACTCCTCTCTATATTATGGAGAATTTTGCATTTACGTACGCATTCATTACATTTTTGTTTTGGGCTTGGAAATGCTGAAGTTATTTATTGATTACCTATTGAGCATTGCACATTTGTACTAAGGACAAGTACTAAGGTTGGCAAGTTTGTTATCTCTTTAATTCATTCAATGGGTTACCTGTTTTATATGTGAATATTATTGTTTCACAATCTATATCATGTCAAAGGATGAAATATGTGGTTGGAGCATGATTTTAATTCCTTTACAGTTGTGACCAAAATTATTCAACCCCCAATGCTGTAAAGGGGTTTAGGGACTATAGTGTACATTTGGAATTGTATTCAGAATCAAA